GTGGTATACGTGTTAATTAGGGTTTTCGGGTTTGTTGCACTTTTTATTTGGGTGAGGTTTGTGTGCGGGTGTTTTTTGGGGTGACGAAAGATGCTTGTGTGTGGTGGGGTGGTGGTGGGGGGGGGGTGTGGTTCACTGCCTTATAAGAGGCTAATGGGGATATGCCGCTGGATGTGGTTGCATTTTCAATAGGGCTACTAGAATGGGTCGCACATTTTCTGATTTTTAGTTAAGACAGTTGCTCATTTTTGCGGTTAGCATACGTACCAGAATGTTCGTACTGTAGGTAAAAAATGGTTCAATCCATTTTAGGGTGACCTATTTAAAAGAATTGAAAAGGTAGATACATAACAACAACAACAACAACAACAAAGATGAGCTTTACTTGCATGACTATATCAAAGTATTACAGTATTGCAAAAGCTACTTGAATTTAATTATTGCTTCACGTCACCTGTCATGCTTGCGAGAACTTGTCTCGACTCAGGGACATGGCTGAGTACAACTTTCTGATCTACACCATCCAGACAAGTACGCTTCTATCTTGGCAAAGCAGCGAGACTTCAGAACTTAAAGCATCTTTCTTTTTTACATAATTTTTAGTACACTATAATTTGCGTCAGTGATTTAAGAGGAACATTATACGTTTCTGAGAAACTGCCCACCTACCCCTCCCCTAAGCTAACATTAACACTTACCTTTCACTTTGGGCAAAATGTTGACTTTGGGGAGGGGTAGGTAAGTGGATAGTTTCCCAAAAGCTTATAATGATCAATTTAAGAAATATGATTTTTCGCCCCATGTAAGGGAATCCATGACAGTCTTAGATTCTGGATTCCACGCTGTGGATTCCGGACTCTAGGTACTGGATTCCGGATTCCTGTTCAGTGGAACTGGGATTCCAGATTTCAATCTTTAGCGGCCTCCGGATTCCAAAACCCGGGTTTCCGGTCACAAGAAAACATTTTCGGCTTCTAGAGTCCAAAAGCCATCTGGATTTCCTTACATGAGGCAACGCCCTTGAATTAACTCCCCATCGGAAAAGCTAAAAATCTAATGCATTTGCTTTTGATTATTCTTTCTAATAGTGTTTATGTTCAAAAATACAAAAAATGAAAAAAAAAAAAAAATTGGCTGAATGAACATATTTTCGTCCTAATGTGGATTGTAATATGCTAAACAATGTTTGTAAACGCTCTCTTAGTATTTAGATAAAACATTTGCAAATCAATCATGAGTACCAAACAGTCACTTGGAATAAACGCGTTTTCCTCTGAACCCATCCTAGCTATTGAGTAGATACAGGGGTTGTTTACTATTTACATGGACAAACCGGTCGGTTCACGGTTTGGACAAATTATGGACTGATTAATTTCGTAGAGGAATCGCGTTTACCATTTGTCCAAATCAGTTTCATACCGATTGAAAAACGGCCGCGAAGGCGTGGAATTGGTGTCAAAGATGGCTTTGAAGAACTGGAACACGAATTTCAGTTTGGAACGTTCCGTTCGGAAAAACAGGACTACCTTGTCAGATGTTCCGTTGCTACCGGAAATTTTCCGCAGGAAAGACGCAAAAAGTGTTCCTGGAACATTACTGAACTTACGGCTACGCAACAGGAGAAGATGGCAAACCTTGTGTGAAAAGCGTGACAATAATTTTGTTTGAAATAACTTTTCGCCAAACTTAACTTCTCTTTGAACAGATCTTTTTGTAAAAGTCCAGAAAACGTTGGTGCTAGTGAAGAGCACGACAAAACACGCAAGTTATAGCCCTGTCACATTCGTCACGCACAAGCGATTTGCCGTCCTCTTCTTTCTGCCGTCCTGTTGTTTAAGTAATGATCCGGGTAAGGTGGATAGCAATTTCTTTTGTTATACGGCAACGATTTTTTCCCCACATAACGTCCACATAGGAATGTTCTCAATTTTACACAAAGAATGCATAAACCTACATGAAGGCCGTTTACGCAATAAAATGCATTTACACTCCACTTTGAAAGGGTGTTTTTTTTGTGTTAAAAGATTCTGACCAATCACAAGAGTTGAAAACAATAGCCAAGAAAAGTTTACAATTTTACATGTTCCCCACATAGGATCTCTTTGTTATTCAAACTGAGACCAGATTTTGTTATATGGAAGATGGTTGCAAAGTAAGGATGAATATATGTACCGCTTTATGAAGTTTGCTGTTTAAGCCAATCAGAAGTAAGTACAGACAAAAGAAAAGTAAGCACCTTTTTTGCATTCCAACATGTTCGTGGCCGTTGTTGCTATCGTTCTTCTCTGGAACGTTTCTTAAACTCACTATTCTATTACTTGAGGACGGCTAAAAATTTCTAGATGACCGTTCCAATCATGTACAATTTTCGAGGCTGATGTAATGAATTCCCTACGATTTTCTAGAGTTTACTTTCTCACATTTTAGGCTAACTTTCGTAGAATAAATAAAAACTAAAATTTTCGGATTCAAAAATGTGATGGAGAGAGGAATAAGAATAATTCTCACTTTCGTAAATCGTTAAATTGCATCTGAAATTTTCGGGAAAATAATACTCAAATACTGAAGTCTTAGTAATTTCGAAAAGACTCAAGTTCCCCTAGGATGAACGAACAGATACAAATTTTCTAGCGCCCGGCTAGAGCAACCTCGTCCCCAGGGCGCTTTTTCCCTGGCTTTGGTGGTGAGGTTCAAGCATGTAGGATCGACCAGCGGCCGCAGTTTCCGAATAAGTAGGTACTTCGTATATTACATGTCACTTCGCCTTCATTCAGGCTGGGATGTCTCGTACACAAATTACGCCCAGTTCAAACTAATTTTTACCGGAAGCCTTAATCAACGTCATAAAGGATTTATGACATTTACCAGGACGACATTTTCCTTCTAAAAGGAGTTCAGCTTTGCTATGTATAAACTACATGCGTTCAGACTTTGCAGATGTAAAGGCCAGGTTCTTTCGGATTATGGAAAGAAGACACAACAGTCTCGTTCAGCTGTTTTAATCCTTCCCGCCTGGTGGCGTACATCTTCTCGCCAATCGTGCAGTAATATCACGTGACTTGAAAATGTAAACAACTGTGGGGGGTGGGCTAAGTACTTTCCTACGCAAAGATCAGTTTGTTGCCGAGGCTTTTTTTAACGATTAAATTTACCGCCGACNTGTCAGATGTTCCGTTGCTACCGGAAATTTTCCGCAGGAAAGACGCAAAAAGTGTTCCTGGAACATTACTGAACTTACGGCTACGCAACAGGAGAAGATGGCTAACCTTGTGTGAAAAGCGTGACAATAATTTTGTTTGAAATAACTTTTCGCCAAACTTAACTTCTCTTTGAACAGATCTTTTTGTAAAAGTCCAGAAAACGTTGGTGCTAGTGAAGAGCACGACAAAACACGCAAGTTATAGCCCTGTCACATTCGTCACGCACAAGCGATTTGCCGTCCTCTTCTTTCTGCCGTCCTGTTGTTTAAGTAATGATCCGGGTAAGGTGGATAGCAATTTCTTTTGTTATACGGCAACGATTTTTTCCCCACATAACGTCCACATAGGAATGTTCTCAATTTTACACAAAGAATGCATAAACCTACATGAAGGCCGTTTACGCAATAAAATGCATTTACACTCCACTTTGAAAGGGTGTTTTTTTTGTGTTAAAAGATTCTGACCAATCACAAGAGTTGAAA